CTGTCTGTCCCTACCTCCCTGGCTGTTATTTTTTTTTCTTTTTGTATTTTTTTTGGTACCAGGAATTGAACTCAGGACCTTGTGCTTGCCAGGTAGGCGCTTCTGCCACTGAGCTACATCCCTGGACCTTGATTTTGTTTTTTGAGACAGGGTTTCACTGTGCAGTTCAGGCTGGCCTCGAACTTACTTGGTAGTCCAGGCTGGCCTCTAACTCACAGTGATCCTCCTGCCTTGGCTTCCTGAGTGCTGGGATTACAGGCATGTGCCACCCTGCCCGGCCCTGGTTGGCATTTTTATCCCTATCTTTTTTTTGTTGTTGTTGGTTTTTTTTTTTTTTTTTTTTTGGTGCTGGGAATAGAACTCAGGACCTTGCGCTTGCCAGGCAGGTGCTTATGCCGCTGAGCTATATCTCCAGCCCTTTTTTTTTTGGTACTGAGAATTGAACTCAGCACCTTGTGCTTGCCAGGCAGGTGCCACACCACTGAGCTACATCCCTGACCTCCCTGTCTTTTTAAACTTACAGGAATTTTCAAACATAATAGTAGAGAAAATAGTCTAATGAATTGTATTTACCACCTTCCAATCTTTCTTTCTCTGTTGTCCCTCAACTTTTTTCTCTATTATTTAAAGCAAGTCAAGCATGGTGACACTCCTATAATCCCAGCACTCTGGGAGGCTGAAGCAGGAGGACTGCATATTTGAGCGTAGCCTGGGCTGCTTCGTAACTCATTGAGACCCTGTCTCAAAATAAACAGTAGATAAAGGCTGGTTGTAGCTCAGTGCAAAGGCCCTGGGTTTAATCCCCAGTATTACGCACACACAAAAAACAAATCCCACCCATGGCTAGGGGTGTGGCTCAGTGGTACACTTGTCTAGCATGCCGCAGGCCCTGGGTTCCATCCTTAGCACCAAAGCCCAGCAAATCCTGGTTATCATTTCAACTCTCCTTAAGTAAGACTACATCTGTCCACTCATAGGGACACTTAATTTTTAATGTAATCACAGTGCCATTTTTATACCTAGCAAAATTAACAGTGATCTCTTCATACCATCTGATACTGAGTTTACAATCAGATTTCCCCAGTTATCTTGAAACTGCCTCTGTTCTCACCTCTCCTTCACCTTTCTCTCTTTCTCTCTCTCTGACTCTGTCCCCTTCTTTGGCTGGCACCTTTGATTCTCTGTCTGTTCTGTCCTATACATTCTTTCTGTGGCCCTCTGACTTGGGGGCTCCAGGCTTCTCTCTCCTCCATCCTTCTCTAGGCTGGGAGAGAGTAGGTAGAGAGCGGTGCTCTGTGAGGAAGAGGCTCCCTCCTGTCCTCAGGTAGCATCCAGGCTGGTGGGGCAGGGAAGTGGGACGGAGTGGGCCTCTGGAAAGACTGGAGGGTGGGTGGGACGTGTCAGGTGGCTCCTGGACGAGGCAGGTCCTTGGGGTCAGCAGGCATTCACACTGTCCCTTTTCCCTGCCTGCTCTTTCTAGGAGGATCCCCGGGCCCCACGGCAGAGGCTGCAGAAGCAGGTGGCCGAGCACTTGCGCCAGAGCTGGGGTCCAGCGGGGGCTTCCACACAAGCCCGAGACCTGGGAGAGCTGCTGCAGGCCTGGGGTGCTGGGGCCAAGACCAGTGCCCCCAAGGGCTCCCGCTTCACACATTCAGAGAAGTTCACCTTCCATCTGGTGGGTGTGCCTGAGTGGACATGGGGGTGCTGATGGGGCGTGGCAGGCTCGAGGGCTGCTTCACGTATAAATGCCACTTTTTTCTGCAAGGTTCCCGTGTGTCTGCTAGGTAGACCCACTCTTTGCTGGGGCGGATGTCCAGAGGATTCCCCTAGCTCAGTGATGGTGAACCTTTCAGAGCTTTCAATGATAACCAGCAGGCCGCTGTGGCATGCATGCCATAGGTTTCCGCCACTGCCTAGCTCTTGGGGACCTCATGGGAGAAAGGACAGATTGTGGGAATGACATTAGGGGGCAGGGGTGTTCTTGGTACAAACCCCACCTTTCCTAATTTTCCTCTAGGTATAGCTTCTCCCTTTGGATGCTTCCCAATGGCGGCCCGTCTTTCTCATGGACATTTGGGGCAGCTGTGTCAGGCCGAGGGTTCTCTGGGAGCAGCTGTGTGGGTGTGGGTACAGCACTGGGGGTGCTCTGAGGTGCCGAGGCTGGGCCATGACAGACAGGCCTTCCCTGACATCTAGGATGCCCCTTTTCATGCCCCTAGGAGCCCCAGGCCCAGACAGCTCAGGTGACAGATGTGCCGGCCACCTCTCAGCATCCTGAACAGGTGAGCAGAGCAGTGGAGGGGACAGACCCGGGCCCTTGCCTGTCTTCTGGGCCTGACACCTCCACCCCAACTGGCCTGTGCCTCCCAGGACATGCGTGCGGCTCAGGAACAGGAACTCGAGTCCCTTCGGGAGCAGCTGGAGGGCGTGAACCGCAGCATGGAGGAAGTTGAAGCCGACATGAAGACCCTGGGAATCAATCTTGTGCAGGTGAGAGGCTGGATCAGAAACAGGGCCTTAAGCAGGGTGGGAGGTCAGCAGGCATTGTGGGGGGGACATCTGGGGCACTTGGGGCTTCAGGAGAATTGGTGGGTGTAAGGGGGATGTGAGGCTGGGGGCTTTGTGGGCCTAAAGGAGCCTATGGGCATCAGTCAGGCCTTGGTGGCTGTGAAGGTCTGTGGGCATTGGTGGGTCTCTGTGGGCAGGTGCTGGTCAGCTCCTCAGGGCTCCTGGGCATCAGCACACTGCTGGAGGGTGAGGGGCCTGGAGTGGCTGGAGGGCCACGTTATCATATGGGAGGTCTTGGGCTGGGCCAGGGCTGCTTGGGCTTACTGGGGCGGGGGCTGTGGTTTGTGACAGGTGGAGGCCGAGTGTCGGCAGAGTAAGCTGAGCACTGCAGAGCGGGAGCAAGCCCTGCGTCTGAAGAGCCGCGCGGTGGAGCTGTTGCCTGATGGGGCCGCCAACCTTGCGAAGCTGCAGGTGAGCTGGGCTGAGGCTGTGGCTGGGCCAGAGGGGCAGCGTTGGATGGGCCCAGCCTGTGTGACATGTCCTCCTCCCCCTACCAGCTTGTGGTGGAGAGCAGCGCCCAGCGGGTCATCCACCTGGCGGGTCAGTGGGAAAAGCACCGGGTCCCGCTTCTTGCTGAGTACCGCCACCTCCGGAAGCTTCAGGACTGCAGGGAGGTAGGTGCTGCGGTCCTGGGCTCTGGGTGGCGTAGGTCTGGCACCTCCTTAGGGGACAGTCCCTGAGTGCTGCTGACTGCCCTCTGACCACGGGCCCTCGGCAGCTGGAATCTTCCCGACGGCTGGCAGAAATCCAGGAGCTGCACCAGAGTGTCCGGGCAGCTGCTGAAGAAGCCCGCAGGAAGGAGGAGGTCTACAAGCAGCTAGTAAGGCCCATGTGGGTCCTGGGGGGGCAGGCTGTGTGGGCTGGTGGTCCTGGGGGTGCTGGTCGTAGGGGAGTGTCCGCTGTGTCCCCCTGCCTAGGTGTCAGAGCTGGAGACTCTGCCAAGGGATGTGTCCCGGCAGGCCTACACCCAGCGCATCCTGGAGATTGTGGGCAACATCCGGAAGCAGAAGGAAGAGATCACTAAGGTGCGCCATGCCCTGGCAGGCAGGACCGATGGGCAGACAGGCGTGGGGTTGTCACATGGGGTCCTTATGACTTCTGATAGCTAGAGCTTCCCAGCCACACGTGACATGGAATAGTCACAGACCGTCTACCCCAGATATCCTTGGTGCAGTGACACGTGCCCCAAGTGCATGTGCATGAGCCCCCTCACCAGGCCGGTCACCCTGCCCCGGACGCGGGCTCACAGCCTCACTGGTGTTTGCCAGATCTTGTCTGACACAAAGGAGCTTCAGAAGGAGATCAACTCCCTCTCTGGGAAGCTGGACCGGACGTTCGCAGTGACTGATGAGCTTGTGTTCAAGGTGTGGGACAGGCCAGCGCATGTGCAGGTTGGGGTGGGGCCAGCGGCCCCAGCAGCACCTGGGCCCTTTGCGAGCCCCAAGAACACATTGATGCGGGGGCCTGGCTCTGCTCTGAGTGGGTGGGAGAGGGTGGCCCTGTGGTGGCATGGAGGTGGTGGGGCCGGGAGGGGAGCTTTCTGCCTCGGTCTTTAAGGTTCCCTCTGCCTGGTCAGGATGCCAAGAAGGATGATGCTGTTCGGAAGGCCTACAAGTATCTAGCGGCCCTGCATGAGGTGAGGAGGGCAGCGCCTGGGGACTGGGTGGGAGGGGCCGCTTGGATACAAGCGTTTTGCTTCTGCTGTTCCCAGAACTGCAGCCAGCTCATCCAGACCATTGAGGACACAGGCACTATAATGCGGGAGGTTCGAGACCTTGAGGAGCAGGTGAGACCACGGGCGAAGGGGGCCAGGCCAGTGGGGCAGCTCCTTGCTTTATGCCGAGTGGCTGTGGGACCGGACAGTCTACGGCTAGAGGGTTAGCTCTGCCTCTGAGTGTCTGTGCCTGGGCCTTGGGATGGGTGAGTGTCTAACCCAAGCCTGGGCTTCGGCCTTGAGGGTCCTCATGCCTGCGTCTTAGGGCTGGGGGTGCCTTGGGTGGAGGGAGCGACACGTGGCAAGGCCTGGCAGTGGGAGGAGCAGGCTGTTGTTGCAGGGGTGGGAGGGGCCCAGGTGGCTGCCCCGGAAGGGTGCTGAGCAGCAGCCGGGCAGGGGCCCTTCATGTGCTGAGGGAATATGCATCACATCGCCTTAGATCGAGACGGAGATGAGCAAGAAGACCCTCAGCAACCTGGAGAAGATCTGTGAGGACTACAGAGCCCTCCGCCAGGAGAATGCTGGCCTCTTGGGCCGGGTTCGGGAGGCCTGAAGAGTCCCTGGTGGAGGTCCCCCCGGCCATAGGCAGGGATTTGGGGTAATGGAGACAGCGCTTGTGCTAGCCGTTCTCTTGGCCATCCAGTCCCTCCCATTGAGGCCTTAGACCCAGATGCCTCCCCACCTGACCCCAAGCCCAATCTGGGGTGATAGCCCAGCATGGAGAAGTGGCTGCAGTTTATTGGAGAGAGCAATGGGAGCTGGGGGCCTTGGATCCCAAATAAAGGAGGGGCTCTTCTGCAGTCTAGCTGAGGCATGGATCAGGGCTCGGGAGGGAGTGGGTGGCTGGGAAGTGAGACAGTCAGCACCTTTTGGTGAGTCCGTGTATCCTCGTGGGACTCAGGAGGCACACTGGCGAGCTGAGTGTGTATGCACGTGCATGTGTGCGAGATACACGGACAAGTCCTAACAGGCTGTGTCTGTGACTGAGCGCATGTGTTGGGAGTTGCACAAGAGCCTGTGTGACCAGTTAAGTGTCTGTGTGGCTTTCTGTAACCTGTGGTCCCGAGGGTACTGATGCTGCGTCTGGGGGCAGCCGGGGCTCACCTCTGCATGACCTCACCTCTGTGGGCCCAGAGGTTGGCTGTGGCTTTGTGCTTTGGGGCGTGTGGGTTGACAGGACTGTGTGCACACATGACTTTATGTGACTACATAGCGTTGGGGGCGTTTGCATGTACCAAGGCAAGCTCTTTGTGTATGTGTGTGACTTTTCCACTCCAAGGCCATCTATGAGGGTGGCTGAGGCAGCTGTGTGTGTGGTTGGTTTCGAGGTCCCATATTGGGGGGCTGTGGTGGTGAGGGCTGGGCTGGGAGTGGAGACCCTCTGAACAGCCTTGGGGCAGAAGATAAGATCCAGGAGGGTGGCTAAGCTGGAGAGCAGGGGCTGTGGCAGGTGAGACAGTGGACACCTCATTTCCCGGTGCCTGTGGACATATCTGGGGCCTGTCAGCCCTGTCCCCACCACCTCTGCCCCCAGTTTTGACCCTTTCCATCCTTCTTCCTTTCCTTGGCGTTGAGATCAGGGGCCTGGCGTCGGGTAGGAGCACCTGCTGGGCCGCTGGCTCCTTTTCTTGCGGAATTCAAACTCGTCCACGGTCCACACGGCCCCCTTCTCGCTCTCCACCCGCACGAAGCACTTGTGCAGGCTCAGGTTGTGGCGGATGGCGTTCTGTGGGAGGAGGACCAGCTGGGCCAGGGCAGGGGCAGGCAAGATCCACTGAGCCCAGCAGCCCCCACTGGCACCAACCTCCTGCCCCCCTTCTCTGCCTTGGAGCCCAGCCCCAATTCTGCCTGCTTCTGAGCTATATACTTCAGTCTGTCCAGCCACTGCCACCTCCAGACCTACTCACCTTCCAGGTGGCAGGGTGGTTTCTGAAATAGGCAAACATGCGTGTGAACCAGCGGTAGATTTCATTGAGTGTCCGCTGCTTCTCAGGAGCCTCCAGGATGGCCTAGAGCAGTGATGACGGACCTTTTAGAGTTTCATTGTTTTTTTTTTTGAGAGTCTCACTACGTAGTTCAGGCTGGCCTTGAACTCACTATAGAGCCAAAGCGGGCCTTAAACTCAAAGCAATGCTCCTGCCTCAGCCTTCCTAATGCTGGAAGTACAGGCGTGTGCCACCATGCCCAGCTTATAGTTTTCAATGCTACAAACAGCCTGTTGCAGCACGTGTGCCATAGCTTTGCTACCACTGGCTTAGAGGCTGTGGTAGGGTAAGAGGAGTGTCCCCTCAAAGTCAGGGTGAGAGGGGCAGTGGTCTATCCTGAGCCGTCTGATTTGGGGGTGGAATTAGGGTAGGGTGGAGAATTGGGGACAGGGTTAGATGCAGGGTGGGGCTTTGGCTCAGGTGGGATTAGAAGTAGAGTGAACATCTGCAAAGCAGTGTGTTTAGGCTCAGAAATTGGCTTGCACTGGCTGGGCTAGTGGTTTAGGTTTGGGTTTGGGAAAGGTCTGGGGTGAAGCCAGCAGGAGGGGTCACACTTGAAGCAAGGCTTGGGGCTCCTCAGGGCTTCGTTAATGGAGGAGCCCACAGTGAGGGCACTCAGAGGGAAACAGGACTTGAGAGGTAGGCTTGTTACTTCTTTCTTTTTTTTTTTGTTTTTTTTTTTTTGGTTTTTTTTTGGTTTTTCTCTGGTACCGGGAACCGAACTCACGACCTTGCGCTTGCCAGGCAGGCGCTTTGCCGCTGAGCTAAATCCCCAGCCCC